ATCCAACGACATTTGCTCACACGAAGGACACGACGAATGTGTGGAAAGTTCTTTCGAGGTGTGGCACGCCAGCGTCAGGAGGCTGAACGATGAGACAAACACACACACACTACACACCAACCGGCACCACTGTATGCCCACAAAGACCAATACAACGATATATCATTACTACTACTACCAGTACTCATACAACCAACCTTCAATCATTCGACTCTTTTCTGATGCTTCGCCATATGATGCACAAGACGACCATCCTTCTTTATTTACAACCTTACCCTATTCATACGTATTGATTAACTCTAAATAGATACTTACTTTTTACAATCAGTAACTGCTCAACTACGGTAGCTAGCTAAGTCCTGATGAAATGAACACTGACTGTTACGGTCATCTGATTCGATTCGATTCTAGGTCTGGTGGGTCCGCAGGATAGGCCGTCAAATGTAAGGCATCAAGGAGATTCGGTTCCACGCACTCGCTGAGTCATTCTTTGCTTGTCGAGCACCGGGCCGAGTACGGTACAATACTAGCTAGAAACTCTCGTGGCGCCTTGACCACGGTAACAAGACTTGCTTGCTGCCTTCGATCCACTTTCTACTTAGCTGCTAGCTAGCTCGTACAATTACTCAGGCTTTGCTCCCAACAAAGCAAGTGGCCTGACCCTGTGAGGTGCAAGCTCTTTTAGCTCCTTCGAACCAACAACAGTTCTGGTACGGTAGCATCCCACCCGAAACACCCTTCAGAGGCAGCCTGGTCCTGTTACCGGGTACCACACTTCTCACGTAGACTATCTATTTAGTATTTGTTTTACACTTCTCCCGGCAAGTCATCACGTATGTTTGGTTTCCAAATGCTTCGAAGGCTTTCTCTATTGCCTTGATGGCCAGTGAAAACGCAATTTTCTCCCGCGACCCCATCGAACAAAACGGCACAGCACTCCCGCACAAGCATGGCACGGGCGATTATCCATGACTCAGATCCCCAAGTATCCATCTTTTCGAGCGAGTTTTGGAAAAAATTAGCGACTCCAGCTAGCTAGACCACGTTGCTGCCACTTCGCAGAATTTGGTCGACTTTGGGTTGTCCCTCCAGACAACATTGTTAATTCGCCGCGCGAGGTTTGCTCTCGTTGCCGTGCCGCCTTGGTGGCCATCTTTTCCGCTGCCTTGATGTCTTGGGGCGGTACATGAAAGCCAAACTGCAAAATCTCCTTGCGGAGCGTACTGGGAATGGGTGCCACTGTGAACGATCCTTGTCTTGTCGTCTGGTGCTTGTCGACACTGACGGGCTCGAGTTCGGCAAAGGACCAATCGATGCTCATGGGAGGACCTTCGGCACAGTCAGGATGATCCCCGGCGATGCGATTGAACTCTCGTACTTGGACAGAGCCAAACGTCACAGAACGACAACTGCTATTGAAGGTAGATGCAGTCGACGAGGATCGAGTGCTGCTCAACAAGTCTTCTTCTTGCTGCATCCGTAGAGAGGCTTCCTTGGAGAGCAGGAAGGCGTTGCCCGAGAGAGACGATGACCTCATCATGGCTTTCCACCGGTTTGCTTGCAGTTTCAATGCAACCAAGAATTCCTTCGTCTCGATGAGAAAATTAATGAGAAGAAGCAGAACTCGTGTCCAGCAGCAGAGATGTCTCATCGACAAATCCAGAACAACTTAGACTACTGTACTAAGCTTACACTGCACCAAAGTCTGTTTGCTTCTTGCGTGCAGTTGCGATGCAGGCAGGATGCACAGCTCTTGGAAGATTTTTGATGGTTCGAGGAATTGAAGCAAATCAGGATGATTTACTGGTGTCAATCATGCGTTTGTTAGATCCCCCATCACCCCTTTGGTCTTGCTCCTTCCGTTGAGGGCAAGTGAGCTTGGTCGTTTAACCCCCATGTACTCGTTTGCGGTACCGGTTATCCCGGTGATTGTGTCAACAGTTCGCCCAACTTCCATGACAGCTTTGCTGAGTTTTGACGCTTCCCGTGAGAACAAGGAGGATTCCGTTGGGAAAATCCGGAAGAAGTCCACCTTCCTCAAAGAGCCTGGTCTCTTTTAACAAAAGATACACCAACTGCCTCCACCAGCCTCCGATACATAACCAGCGGTACCTCTACAGGTTCGGTAATGGGTGTTCCAGCGGTTGTTCCAGCGTTGTCCACAAACACCCTTTACCCTTTTTAACATAACCATGATGAGGCCCTTCTTATGTTGTATTTTTAAAAATCTGGTCGGAGTCGAACAGGATGCGTTGGGAAGCTCGTTGGGATGATAACGATGGAGGTTATCCTTAGTCTGCAGAGCGGCTTGGCCATTCCGGCCGCTTTGAAACGTAGCTTTTCTTCAGCGGCTGTCTTCTCCAATAATACCCAGAAGGATTGAAGAAGCTAGCTATCCAAGCCCAGAATTTAGAAGTAGACTACTAGTACTAGTACTGGAAATAGACTAGTCTAATGATTGCAACTGGAAATGATGATGGAAGGGGTGATGGGAGTTTCTTGCATGAACTGTTACAAAGTCTTTTGGTACGTTGGCAGGCTGTCAAAGTCAAATGGAAGGTGTCCCCACGACTGCGACGACAAATGGCCCTGTTGCTGTTGATTGCCTTGGCCATTTGCAGTCGTTTGTTCCACAGCAATTAATTTTTGGACATCAAATGGTACCATCGACAAGCCACAACGATGACGAGTATACTGTCCAGCTCAGTACATACTATGTGCCACCACGAGAGACACATGGGACGGATCCCCAGTTGCATCGGAATTTTCGTAATTACGTCTATTCAGCTATTCGCAACGGATAATATATGAACCACCCATCGTCATCGAGGCAGACAAAGGGACATTTGCGATGGATTGAGCGAATGGAACAATACCTACGAGAACAAGAAAATCTTGCTCATGTTTACAGACTCTTTGGATGTCCTCATCATCTCGCCCGTACAACAGATTTCAAAGGCATACAAACGCATCGCTCCTCAGCACTTTGTGTTACACGAACATGTGAACATGATCTGGAAGCAAAACAATTCATTATCAAACAAGCCCCAGATCCGGAAAACGACTATAAATTCCTCAACGGTGGACTTATGCTCGGAACGCCCCAAACACTCATGCATCTCTTTGAGTGAGGTTGATGATCAGGCAGCTTTGGTACGATTCTGGCAGCAACACCCAAATAAACTCACGCTGGATTATGACTTTCACTTACGACAACTTCTGCCGGGATTGAAAGCATTGTGCTGGTACTGCTCAGTCTTCGGCGACAATCTATTGTACCGGATGCAATATATCTCAATGTTCCTACTAATAAATCGAAGCATAATATGTCTGCGGCCGCAGCATCTCTTCAAGAGCTCGCATGGTTGACGCTCAATACGGACTGCGAAGATTACGGACCTGCCACCAAACTCATTCCAACGCTGGAAAAAGAAACGGATCCCGACACACTAATCATCACGGTGGATGATGACAAAAATGTTGCGTATCCTCCAAATTTTGTGGAGGCTCTGCTGCGCCAACACCTAAAGGCACCCTACATTGCATTTGCCAATGCTGGGGAAATGATTGAAATTGATCACTTCCCATCATCAGGTGTCCGGGTGCGTTCTGTCAGCCACGACGATGAATGGGAGCAGCTAGTTGCAGTGGATATTCTGCAAGGCTTTCAGGGAGCTATTTATCGAAGGGACTTTTTCTCGTTCGAATCAATCAAAATCATTCCCAATGATTGCTTTTGGGCAGAAGATGTTTGGATTTCCGCAGAGCTTGCCAGGAAGGGAATAACACGAGTGCGAATTCCCTGCACGCCCTCAAACACCTGGCAGACAGACGCCATCGTAGCCGACAAACCCCCCGGAGCTAACAATTATTTGGTTGGAAAGCCAAAGAAGGATAGGTGTGCTGCGGAGCTTTTGCCATACTTCCAAAAGTCCTGGCGTCAAACTGAGCAGCGCATTCCCATGGGCTTTGAGTGGCTGGATTATCTATCCCAACGATCAGAGTAGATGAAGAATATGGTAAGGTACTAGTATGCTCGCATGCCTCAAAATTAACAGGGGGGGCGCATGAGTTCTCGGGGAGTGCTCGGAGACTTCTTACTATTTTTAATAACATGGTTTTCAAACACAAGAACCACAAAAACACCGCAATTGGAACGGCCCTCTGACGTCCATCCACCCCCCCCTCCCCTCAAACTACATACTAGTACTAAGCAGTAAACATGGATAATAAGAGCATACAATACTGGTACCAGGGTACCCAAAAACCCATTCATTTAGTCTTGTAA